GACAAGACACAGACCTCTATCGGACTCCCATTTATCAAAAAAACTAAGCCTTCATAAGAAGGCACAAAGAGACATTGGTATTTTTGCCTCTAAGACTAGCTGAGTTCTCCCAACTGTTACAAACAACAGTTCTCACAAACAAAAAAGATTAAAAAAAAAAAACAAAAACAAAAACAAAAAAAAACCACAACAACAAAAAACCAGGAGCACCATCACCTTCCAATGAAAGACAAATCAAGAGCTGTATGGCTGTATGTAGCATGTCTGGGGAAAATCTCAACATCATGTCAAGAATGCCCATACATATTTCTTCATGAAATGGCAGAATACAGCACAAGCATGAAAAGAGGAAATCCACATCAGCAAAACACACAAACGTATGGCTGACAATGTCCTTCAGCCCGCACTGGCATCTTTCAGCCTGACTGTTCATTCCCAACAGGATGACATACTCATTCCCAACAGGAATGCTCAGCACCAAAGCTGGAAAGCTGGGGCTTTTTTGTTACAGTTGCTTTCTGAACTTGCCCTAAATGAGCAAAGAGCAGTCAAAGAGGCAACAGTTCTAGCATTAAGTCTTGTGAGAATACAGTAACTAGTCATGCTATTTATAAACTACACTTCTACGTTGACATAAGGAAAACAGCCTTTTTGTTGTACTGCTGGAAGTCATCCCAAAACAGTATTTCCAACTAACTCCCAGTTGCAGGTATTCAATGAAACAGAGACAGTGCTAATTATAGGATGATGACACACTATCTTTTACTAGTATAGACAGTTTTAAGATCAGAATTAATTTTTTTTAACTACTTACAAGTCACCTCATTCTAACTTCTGTGTTTGGCTCTAATTTGTATTTGCAAAGACATCAGGAAAATTAGTGACATGCATCTCTGATAACTACATAATTAATTCAGTATTTCATTCACATCTGCTCAGTTAGCCACTTTCTGGCTATCTAGTCCCATGCTATCACACATTCTCAAGAGGAAAAAAAAAATCATATAAAATCTGTGAAGACATTGTAAAATATATCAAACAACAACTTCTATTCAAATATAGGAAACAGACGAAACAATGACTAAAAATTCATTTTAGTTTACATCTCTCTCCTATTCCCAAATTATTTTCTTACTAAGGACAAAATGAGAAACACACCATTTCTCACTTGTGATTTGCTTTCCTGCAAAGCAGCCCAAAATAGGAAAAGAAATTTTAATAATATTTATACAGTTACATTCACACTTGCTTACATATAGTCCTAATTGAATTTTCTTACTGTTTTAGGATTATTTCATCTGCCATTTACTCCCTTCAAAAATTTCAGGCTAAATAGACACACAATGCTAACAGAAAGAAGAGAGTATCATGTACTGCCATGTTCTTCCCATAACTGATGACAAAATTTTTATAAGCATGTTAAGAGCTACTGTAAGAAGCAACTGTTGTAATCACATGCGGGTTTCTAAGCACCGACACTGAGGTGTTTTGCTTTAATAAAAAACCCCTACTAGATGCTAAACCAGAAGATTTCATTTATAAGTATTTACAAATGTGTATGTCAACAGTAACATCTCATGCAATCAGGAGTACTTGTTAGCTATAATTAGCTAAAGCTACTGACTTAAAAACCATGAACAATATAAGATTCTACTAATTATGTTTGGAGAAAAATTCTGGACTAGCATCTCAGGAGTATTAACTGCAAGTTATTTATCACAACAGGCAAATGACAATCAGAAGCAAGAGAGCTGTTGGCATAAAGGATCTGAATTGTAACTGTTAATAGAAATACCTCTTGAACATTTAAGTATCATAGAATCATAGAATACCAGGTTGGAAGGGACCTCAAGGATTGTCTGGTCCAACCTCGCTTGGGAAAAGCACGGTCTAGAAAAGTATGGGCTCTTTTTTTTTTTTTCATATGAAATCTCACTGGGATTTAATTACTGTATTTATTCTACGGCCTTCAATAATCCAAAGATTCACAAACCTTCTTTCTCTCCTCCAAATTTAATTTTACACTACTTCTAACGTCAAAATAATAGGAAGGAGAGACATTTACATATGTAGCATTGTTTCATGTCTTTACAGTATCATTTATTATACAGTCTTAAAATCCAAGGTGTTGTACTGACAAGACTAATAGAATTTTTATGCTTACACTGCATTTATTATGGTATTTTCCTCTCAAAACAAGATCAGCTATATTCTTACATTTTCTGATGCAAATACACCAATACCGTAAATCAACGTATTTGGAACAGAAAGTACAGTTCACATGGAAGATGAATGTTGTCTAAAGCTATCAAGGTAGCTATTAAAGGCTAAGGCATATATCATGCTTTCCAAGTCACCACATCATTAAGTCATCATACATAAGCTCTGAAAACTAATGTATCACTTAACTATATTCTTAAGCTCATCTAACTTAACTTTTGGATACATGAATCCAGATGTGCACAACTGCATTCAGTTACCTTTTTGTTTGATACTGTTCCAAAATCACTTAACTCTGCTTCCTCAAGGAAAATGCTACATTAAACATAAATGATGCAACATCTGCTTAGAGAAAAACGGTTCTCAGTATCCATTAATACTGTTGTTTGAAGAAATTTTTTGAATGAATGATCTAACTGCTACAGTAAAAAAAGCAGAAATAACAGACACTTATCCCTGCCTGATGCTTCCAGACTAAATGAAAACCTCTAACTATGACCAAACTTCATTATTACTGCATATTTATATATACACTGTAATTCTATCTGAATTTCATGCTATTCCAAGGCTATCCTTAATTAATTGCTTATTACACAACTGAAGATTCTTCCACCTTCTAATGATTTAATATATTCAGGCTGTTCATTAACATTCTGTTAGCTGCCTCAGAGTTCAGGGGATACATACATACAGTACCTCGCTTAAATCTTAACCAGTGTGTAAAAGGTTAAGACCTACTTCTTAACTATGCCTTATTTAAGAGGTGTCATTCATTTATGCCTAGCACAGGAATACACAGAAACTGAATAATTCAGCCTTCTCTACATTATCCACTGCTCACTGTTTTTGCTTTGTTAAGTAAAAAAAAAAAAAAAAAAAAAAGGCTATTTTTATCTCTTCCTTCCTCTTTCCTCTTCTGCATTTACTAAATCTTGTCTTCCTGACTTGCTTCTCTGCTAGCATCAACTCATTCTGCATCCTGGCTTTTCTGATTTTATCACTTCATGCTGCAAGACTAAAATATTTCCTTTTTTTTTTTTCTTTTACACTTTCAGGTCTTCAGAGAGCTATTTTTTTTTTATTCCTATCTTTTCCCTGTATCCTCTACATTTAACATAAACAAGTGCCATCACATCGGCTAAATGTATCCAATGTCTTACAATGAGGTAAAGAAATTACAGTATCCACTGTCACAAAATTACCTTTTGTCCTTGATTTTCAACCACTTCCCTCCAGAATTTTGCTTTAGTAAGAACTTAGGATTGTACCATTCACAGTCATTAAAGTTCCCTGAAGTAAGAGTTTTTCAGAGTAAGAATAGAAAGAGTGCTTCTTATCAGCACTAAGAAATAACACTGATACTTCTTAAAAAAACATAGAAAGGCAATCATAGTCACAAGTACTGTGAAAACAGTTTACAGAAACATCAGCACTAAATTGTCTTTTGAATTCATTCGTGAAACAACCCATTTTAAGAGCTAGCAAGTATAAAATATTGTTATGAAAGTTTTGGAAATCATCCTCAAGTTGTCATTTACTCTCTCAAAGTGTCAGACTGAGGTACATCTTCTCTGGTCACTTGCACGTCCAGTTTACAGGCTCTTTTGTTCTCAAGAAAGTCAAAAAATGGCTGGGGAAAACTTTGCCCCCATTCCTGAAAGCAAGAAAATTACCTACATTCAAACAGCCCACAGGCTTCAAGAAGGTCAGCTTACCTCTCACAGATGGACACAAAGAAATAGAGAGGGTTTCCATTTTGTAAAGGTGCTATGAGAAGCAAGGAATGTGAGTGTGCACAGCACCGATACAAGATCTGGTCCTCAATTTCCTTTAGGTAGCTTGACGTTACTCACTTCTGGCAAACAGACCACATGACACTGCACAAGCTTTCATTTTAAAATAATTTGTGTGTGCCAGTAGTACATTTCTTGTACTAATTGAGAAGGTAAATCACCAAAAGATAGCTACAACATGTTGCCTTGACACGTATTAAAAACCCTCTAGTCTTTCTTTACTTGTAACACTGGAAAATTCCTTGTACCCAAGTCTACATTCCCTCCTATTCAGCTTCCCCTCTGAGGCAGGTGTCTAGCAAAGAGACATCTACTTACACATCCACAAACAATTTGCTGAATTAGAAAACCCACTTCTTCAAACTTAAGAGACAGAACGGTGCTTTGCTGTTTTTCCTTAGTAAACAGTGTAGTAATCCCAAAGTAAGTGGCATGTAAATCTGTCATGTATCAGACTCTATAATCACATTTCAATGTTTTACTTGTTGTAGATAACAATCACAAGTACTCCGAGGACCGAATTTGTCTTTTGCTGCCAACATTAGTTGTTTAATGATCTGAACAGGAGAAGCTGCCAATTATTGTATTCCATTTTAAAATGTCATTTAAAGCCACACTTGTAATTATTATACCTTCGTTGTGAATTTATGCTCTTAGCTACAGAGCTCTAGGTATTTAACTCATAAGGTCCAGGAACAGCTATTGATAATTATTTATCAACTTCACCTATGGAAAAATATCATGTTCTTTCTATGTTTCCTGCCTACCACACAGCATCTGCTTCGCCAGTAGTTTCCCAGCCATGGAGAGGGGCACGAAGTACCTTGCACAAGACATGACACAGCCTGGTTCTGCCGGACTTGCCATGAATTCAAGGGATCTAGAAAAGTGCACATCAATGACTTTTCCTAAGAAGTCTCAGCTATGAAAAGGTCAACCGCTCTAACACACCACTCATCAATATTAGTACTTCTCATCACTTAAAACTTACCTGAAACAGCCAGCATTTTCGCTTCAAGTAGAGCTGGTAGCTGAGTCTCAATATCACTTACTTTCCTCCTCAAAGTACTGCAGAGTTTCTGACTCGTACAAACCTAGATTGAGGCAGACAGCCATGATATGTAATTCATTCATGTAAGAGTATAAGGCTTCAAATGTTCTTGGTTTACAGACACGACATAACATCCTACAGCAAAGTGAAGAAGCTTAATAAAAAGTGATGTCTTTACATAAATAACCAACATGAATAAAAATTTCCAGGCTTTGACATACATTCTATTATAAAAATAGGGAATGGTATTAGCATTAGCTACCTGCATGAGAGGGGGCATGTTTCACTACTAGATACTAAGGCTACACATCGGAGAAAGTCCATCTTATAAATTCTTATGTACAATTTCAGCATTAACAGTGATGCCTGGAGTGGAGCAAAAACAAGCCAACATTTGGAGTTTATGATGTCATAACACAGAATGTACAGAGATTTTTATACAATATACACCATGCTGCACATCTTAACTCAAAAAAAGGCAAAGCAGCCATCATTAATTCTCTACACAGGCAATAAATAAGGCTATACCCACTCAATACTGTACTTTGTTTCACAATCAGCAGACACAGCTGACTAGGGTTCAGTTTTCTGACTTTTCCTCTCTCTGTTTTGCCTTTTTAAGTAGAAGTTCTTTCAGCAATGAATCAGGACTGGTATTAAAAACATGGAGAAAGACAGGAGAAACAAAAAGGAAGTTCAACTGTTTCTGTATTTTACATTTAAGTGTACATTACCACCTCAAAAGGACCATATACAGCATATGCAATTCATACAACTCCCACATATTCAGAAATGTTGGTTCTTACTCCATATTGCATCATTTGTAAAGGAAAGCAAAATGATCAAGCAGAAAAACCCCTCATCAAGCTAAGGCAAATCTCTAGTTCTGAAGGCAGACATCAAACACTTGCTTAAAATTATAGCTGACATTTGAGAAAACATTGCATTCACTGGGACCGAGGGTAAAGCAAGAGTCAAGAGAGACACAGGCTAGTTGTGAAGAGATGAGATGTGAAATGAAATCTCCAGAGGAAAGTTTCCCTGCCCTCCTTGACTTATTTTCCCCGCCTCTCAAAAACAAGTGCATGTACCATGCTTATTAAGAGAAGCACAGCTATCACTTCACTTTTTAAGAGCAAAAGCTTTACAGTTCTAATGGCTTATCTGTTTGTAGAATTAAAGTATAATAATTCAGACATGACACTAACTGTAAATCCTTTTAAATGGGCAATAACCTCTTGCTTTAGCTGAGAGCATGTTAACCATAAATGGGTCATATTTTTTTCTTGAATCAACAGAACTATCCTCCAAGCAGTAACTGTTGTGATCTAAAGACTTCAGAGTCTTCCTATTAATTTAAAACCACATATATCTCATCATTTCTGCACCTATTATAATTTTTCAATTCCCAGATATTTCACTTTGTTTCAGCAGCCCCTTCTAAGTGACTTGCCTACTAATTCACTTAAAATGTTTTTAAAAACTCAAACCTGTCAGAGGTGAATAAACATGCCCAGAGAACCCAAAGGCCATTTCTGTCTCACATCTCCAAATAAATCTTAAAGTTTTTAATGACTTCTTTCTAAGCAGCGTTCTCTCTTTAGGGGTACTGAATGGCTCAGTGAATTGCAATTAGATGGGGAATCTTTCAGCTCCAGGAAAACTGCACGAATATATCCCATGCTGGTAGTAACTTAAAATCATTACCAGTAGACAGCTGTTTAGCAATTACGCAAAATAAGCTGGGAGGTTTCCAGTGAACACTGTCCACTTTGTAAGCACTACTGTCAGAGTGAAGCTCACTGGCACTCTTTATTAACGGACCAAATGCAGGGACCAGGGACTAAAAGGCAGTTCCTCTAGCTTGCAGAGATGATTCTTCTGCAACAACAGATAAGTACCAAGCTTCTGCTACTATCTATGTCACGTGTATTCTGTAGATAAATGAACAACATTAATCTTCATTGCTATCATACAGCATAGTTTGACAAAACTAAATGAGTGACTGGGAGAGGCAAAATAATGTAGCACCTTCTAAACTAACAGCACTGCTTCTGCCTTACATCAGTGCTACTCTAGAAGCTCCAATTCTTTTCATTTTTTCTAATTCTTTTATCTTAATAACAGCTACCATTATTCATTACAGTAGCATATTCAGCCACAGAGGAAAGGTTATTCCCTAGCTAACAAAGACAATGAACATTCGCAAAGCCAGCGTCCTCCTTTGCTCCCAGGGAATGCACCATCCTCCCCTAACCAGTCGGATCGCAAGCGTCTGTGCCTGTGGCCCCAGCAACGCCCTTTCCCTGTTGCCAGTGACCAGCTCTGCTGCAGTCCACGGACCAATGAGCTCCAAGTCTAAAAAACACTCCCTTTCATTTTCAGGGAAGTTCTTTACAGCCAAATATTACTGTATCTATATAAAAATCCTCTTCAGTGGTTTGTGGGGGTTTTTAAGCAGACGTTCAAATAACAGGCTTTTGTTTAGGAATGTACCTTACAAATCTGTGTTCAGACACATAAACACTACTCAAAAAAGCAGTCTATCTGAAACCAATAGGATGCTAGTTATTAAAGATATGTGGAATCAAGATGAAAGGCAGCAAAATATCAAAAGCAGATTTGCCCATTGTCATCCTCTTCCATCTTTCCAGCATATGATGTTAACGGAAAGCACAGAAACAGGGACAAGGACACTGACTAAAGCACTGAAATTTACTCCTCCTCCAACAATGTCCACAAAAAATAAGTTTTGAGTAACCTTCACATTTCTTTACAACAGCAACTTGGAAAAGATAAAGAAATCCTCTTCATGCTGCCTGAAGAAAAAGCACAGCCCACCTGGATCTCCCATACAGCACAATCTTGCCTTTAGCAAAAGCAGATATTAATTTCTGAAGGAAGGTGGTGGATAAGGGAGATTGTTCCTTTCATTAACGGTCTAATCTCAGCTTTTGCATTCTCAGCTGAAAAGAATACAGATGAGACAGGAAAGGCCATATAAATACTAGCAGCACATGGAGGGGAAAAGATCACCTTTGACAAAGTAGTGTTTTCCTCATACAATGAAAAGGTTTAAAAGACCAGCTTCAGTCAGTTTGAGAAGAAAATAATAGTATGAGTTGATCTGAATAAATAAAATAAATTATTTGGAGAAGTCTGATTACGTGCTTCCTATTTATCTTCTCAAATAAAAGCCATCACATAGGAATGGAATGAAATTAAATATTTTATCTATTAAATACTTAAAGAAACAAACAGGCTGTGGAATTCTACCTCGCAGACTTTTCAACTGTTACTCAATGTTTCAGCTCTTATTGTAAAAGTCTGTAGATGCTATGGTTGTAAAACTTCAAGAGGCACACGTTTTCAGGGGAGAAGGCAAAATCTGCAACTTATGTTTTAGCTTGCAGATAGGTTGAAACAAGACAATCTGAGGTACGAAACATCTCATTCATTTTAATAGATGAGCTATAGGTCAGTTACAATCTTTTCCTAGATACCTTATTCATAGTAATTTAAAAAATACAGGGGGGAGCATCATGTTGTAATGGTCTATGCTAATTTTTCCCAAAATGCATGCAATAAGCAAGCAATAGAGGAGAAAAAGCTCAAAATAAAGTAGGAGAGAATGAGGGAGGGGTATTGAGATGTAGTCTTTAAATGGTCTTTTTAACAGTGCAAGCTAAAAGTGTTGGTCAAGATCACTAGGAAAAATAGATTATAAAGGATAAAGTTTTCACTAATATCGATGAGTGCTATTAGGAAAAGAACATGAAAAAAAATTATTTCAGAGCATAAATTCATTTCTAATCAAAACCCAGAAATATTTTCCACTCCCTGATTCATGTAGACCTATACGAATTAGCTACAACAAACGGACCTTTTTTCCTAAAGCACTCCTGGAGCAAAGATGCTCACCAAGCTATTCTGAAATTAAACAAAAACTTTAGTATTCTCTTTTTTGGAAGGAGGCCATGAGAAATAAGAAAATTAAAGGAATAGTATTAACATCTCTGGTTAGAAACAAAATGTATGCTGTTAAATATGCCACATCACTCCTCTTTGTATTTTTTAAGGGGGGTGAGAATTA